GATGCGACATCCTCCAGATTCGCAATGTTCTCCTCAATCATCGTTTGAACGACTTCGAAATTTGCTGCAAGTTCGGTGAGCTTCTCCCGACGTTCATGCACTTCCCCGTACGATGGGTTCCGGAAGTGAAGCGATTGCGCGACGGACAGCTCCCACTTTATTTTCGCGAACATAACCTCTCGCTTCGACAAAAACTTTTGCATATCTGGCGGATCCATTCTCCGGTTCGAAGGACCAAAAAACTATGTACGAACCGAAACGAAAGGTCGAGACGAACCTGGACTAAAAATTGAAACCCGAGAACACGTTTTTCGGAACGGCGGAATTTTCCTATCGGTTGTAACAAATAAAATGTGCAGACAAACTTGTCTTAACGTGTCTATATTTCGACTGTTCGAATACAAGTGTTCTGTTTGTTTTCTCTTCGCTTTGCGCTGGCAGATTTTTGGCGCCAGCAAGGTTAGTTGGTATTGTAGGTACGCAGATTGCTCGGGAGGTAGGGATGTCGTCACAAAATCCTCAAACAGAAGGTCTCTGTACATCCCTGAAATTCGCGGAACATCTTAAGGGTTCTCGGTTTGTTTTTCAGCACATCCTGGAACTATCTTGAATTTATCTAAAACGATTATAGATTTTTAATCGATCTAGCTTTTCTGAGGTGCTTAGAACTTCTTAAAAAATTGCACAATACCCCTCAAGTTTTCTAAATTTCTCAAGTTTGCTTGACACCTATGAAGTTCGATGAAATTCTAGGAACTTCATAAAAATTCCTGAAAAGTCTCGGATGCTAAAAGAACCGCTTTGAGTAAGTTTTCCATAATTTCAGCGTGTTAACTTCCCTTACGTCCCTACAGTTTGTTTATAGAGCTTCACTGAAATTCTCAGCATTTTTCTTTCATTCCTCAGAACTTCTCCAAAGCTCCTACAAGATCTCTAATCTTTCATAAAGTTTATTATAAACTTGGAATAAATCATTTTATTTTGTTTACTTAATTCTGGCACTTTGAATATTTTCAATATTCATTCACATTGAATATTTTTAGATCTTGGACTTACTTACTTGGAAAACTCAGGTAATTTTATCCAGAACAACGAGTAGACATACTGTATGTAGAGAAAGACGACTAAACGTCACAACGCAAAGAATAATCAATCTTGAAATAAATTCACGTTAAAAAAGTTGAAAATAGTGACTTTAGTGACTTGGCCTTGACCAGATAAGTTTCGAAAACTTCAGGTAAGCTCCGACGACTATATGAAAGTCCTGAACTCTGGGAAGTTTACAGATCTTTAAAGGTAAGTTCTGAGAAGTTCAGGACAGTTCCATGGACTTAAAAAAAAAATCGTTAGCTTGATGAAGATCGGAGAACTTCATAACAGTTGTATCAACTTCATGAAATTTACAAGAACTTCAAGCGATCTTCTGGTAAGTTTAAAGATTTATAAAAAAGGTTAGAGAGCTTCGGTAAATTTTCGAGAAACTCAGAGTAGTTCCATGAACATCCGAAATATTTTGGAAACATTTGGGAAATTCTTAAAACTTCAGAAATATTTTGAAAAGTTAAGGGCAGGAACTCTACAGATGTTCCAAGAACAATGTCCAGAAATCTTCAAAGAATTTTGGAGTGTTATGAACATCAGGAAAACTACGGTATCTTTAATAAAGTTCTGCAAATTTCAGGAAAATTCTGAAAACTCTATGTTAGTTCCATAAGCTTACCACCCCGAAAAAAAAACGTTTTGATATTTCTAATATTAGGCAAAGATATCAAAAAATCTAAAACCAGTTTTTGACGTAGGACTACGTCTGTGATATCTATATGGGGGTACAGTTTGTGAAAACCGAGAATGGAACATGAAACAAAATACTGAAACCTGATGAATGTGGGCGTCTTAGTGGAATACCTGTATAATGAGAGAGAGAAGGATTAGTATTTTCCATTTAATTCCACTACTTTATTTGCTTACCCTTGACAGATACGCGTATTTTGTCTACAATGTGCAGACTTCTTCAGTGTCTTGTACTAATACTCGACTGAAGAAAAACATCGCATTTACCGAATATATATTATCACAGGTACATTTTGACTTAGAAACTAGGTAAACTTAAATTTAATTTTCTATAGGAACAGGTACTCCGCTGCTTACTCGTTGATGTGTCCTAGGTAGTAATTTGAAAAGCCATGTGTGTCCGTTTCCTTGATCCCTGTTGAGTAAAGTTGAATTACGTTGTTTGTTGATCTCGAGGCTTTCTGCAACATCCAATTTCCATGGTGTAGATACGGTTCGTAAAATCGTTATGTCCTCCGTCGATAGTTGGTGGTCCTCTGTGAAGATGTGTTCTGCAACCTTTGATTTGAAATCATATGTTAGGCCTTTTTCTTCTTGCTTTTTGGCCTTATTAACCTCCGCTATATGTTCTTTAAATCTAGTTGCTAAAGTTCTCTTGGTTTGTCCTACATATACTTTGTTACAATGATTACAGCTTATTTTATATACGCCTGCTTTACCTAAAACATTAACTGGGTCTTTAGTGGATCCTAACAATGATTTCAACTGGTTATGTCTACTGGTGAAAACTAAATCTAATCCGAATTGTTTTAACTGTGGTCTTAGTTTACAAGTAATATCTTGATCAAATGGAACGGACACTCGTTTCAATGGTTCAGGTGCTGTGGTGAGGGTTGTAAATAATCTCCTTTGTAGAATTCTCGCTTTTTTATCGATGATTGCCTGGATTGTGGTCTCCTTGTATCCGTTGAGTCTTGCTGTTTCGAAGATGTACTGTAATTCTTTAACCTTTCCTGTATCGCTGAGTGGAAGAGTCTGCATTCGGTGAATCATGTGGTGAAAGGCGGCCATTTTCTGCTGGAACGAATGGTTGGAAGTATAGGGGATAACTCTTTTGGTGCTTGTTGGTTTCCTGTAAATTTCGTATTCAAGCGAGGAAGATGATGACGATTCCCTGATGACTAGAAGATCGAGAAATGCGAGTTTCCCGTCTTTTTTCACTCACGAGGTAGAAAAAGACGGGAAACTCGAGCGTGGGCGACGATGAGACTCATCGAAACGGGGGGACAAGACAACCAAAAACTAATAAAGAGAGACAATAGACAATAGAATTAAATTATTATACTAGACATTTGAAGAAACATATAAACCGACTGCATATAGCAGATATCGCGAGTTCCCAACACGTCTCTGATAGAAACATAGGGTTGTCTTCCTTGGGCCTCGAGGATATTCAAAAGTCGCTTTCCGGCGGCGTCATTATCCGTACAATGCCAAACTGCGTGATCGATGTCGTCGTAACCGTTTCCACACCGACAGATGTTGCTGTCCACGAGATTATTCTATTGAGGTGCGCATCTAGCGAGTAGTGGTTGGACATAAGTCTACTCATCACGCGAATGAAGTCACGACTTAAGCCCAAGCCTTTAAGCCACACTCTCGAAGAAAAACATTAGGAATAATTTAATGTAACCACCGTCTAAGATTTCCAGTGTCCCAATTGGTTTGCTCGAAAGGGTACTCTGACGCACTAAATGGTAAAATTCATCGTGTGAAATTTGCCTGTCATAAAATTCGCCTTCCTGCGCACCCACCTTTGCGAGAGAGTCCGCCTTCTCATTGCCTGGGATTGACCAATGTGAGGGGACCCATACAAAGGTAATCATATATGATCTTTCGACCAGCTCCCTTACCTTTGAAAGGAAATAAGATGAGTGTCTACCTTGTTTCATCGACCCAATAGCCTCAATCCTGAGACTATCCGAGAAGTTGAAGTAATGGTGTGCGGGCATGTTGGAAATCATCTCCAATGCGAAGTTGATTGCTGCCAGCTCAACGACATAAACGGAACAAGGTTCCTGAAGTTTGCGGAAGGCGCTAGAGTTTTCATTGAAGACACCGAAGCCAGTGGATCCATTGAGACGTGACCCGTCTGTAAAATATCTTTTCACGCAATTGACGTGTTGGTACTTTTCAGTAAAAATACGTGGATAATAATAGTTCGAAGTTGATCTGGAATCCCATGAATCACTTTTTTCATTGACAGATCATATTCAATTGAGGAACTGCGATTGGTTAAATACGCCTGACCTGCTCCTGGCTTCCAAATCTTCAGCATTCAGCTGCTCCGAAAACCCAGGTCCCAGAGGCAACCAAAATCCCTTACCGCCGTTTCAGAGACCGACCTGCCCAAAATTAAAAAAATGTCTTATTCTTTCTAATTATGCGGTATCGTTCCTGGATTTTTTGCAGTCTATAAACAGAGTTTCAACATGCTACGACCCTTAATATTCGCTCCTAGCGATGTTTTGAAGGTTACGGTACTCACCTATACCCACTTTACCTGACATTGACAACCGATATCTGAAGAACCAGGTCAAACATAAAAAATAAAAATACACTCCTATTGAAGCATCATAAAAATGTATCCCTATGCACCACTGGAGGTTCTGAGGATACATGAGTTAGTGAGTGTTTTTGAATTATAGGATTTTCTCATTATCTCTACGCATAAAAAAAATACAAATATCTACAAAAGCAGAAAGGAACTTACATGTATTCAATTTAGGATCATCTGCAATGTACAGTCAAATGTTCAATGACACCGGTCCAGATATTGGACGTTACATCAGTTGTTTAATTTTACGAAAATAAAAGCTTAGAGTCAAACCTCATCGATTCGATGATCCGAATAATTCAAATTATAAAATGTCTGATTATACTTTATGCTATGAAATATGATCGTCAAAAGTCATTTATGGAAAATAAATCTTCTGGCAGTTACCTACCTTACAGATCAGGCTATGAATTGATGGATTGCAAATGGATGCGTCGACAGATGAGTTGAATGGATCATTGAAGATGCTGAGGTTTTGACAGCACCGTACTGTGGCTACCACAGTATTTTACATTGGATCGTCCGTATACAGTAGCGCCAAATGCAAGCTGTGGTGGGTTCAAAACTCAGCCATCTAAAATGATCCATTGTGGAAGCGGAATGAAACTTACTGGACTAAGCACTATTATAAGTGATAAGGAAAACGACGAGAACGTACTTTTTTTTTACTATATGATTCACAGCTTGCACTCAAACGAAAAGCTTCAGGAAATATAATTCGCCTGCAATAGAAAGAGCACTCGTGTTAGTATAACATGCAGGCGCGGATCGAAACAACAACGTTTCGTACAAGATGAGTAATGTTACCTCGAGAAATTTGCTCCACTTCTTGCCTCCGACGAAAAGCTTCGCGAGATCGTCGATCTTTTTGAACTTGCCATTGATGGTGCTGTCGGAATGGAAATCGGATTAGAAAATTATGCGATCACATTGGGCAGTTAAGACGAGGATGATGCAACTCTTTTTTGCGCTGATTATTTTTACGTGAGTTCTTAAAGTAATCCGTTCTTTTGAAAGATAAAAAATGGTTACAGCAGCAACTGAGCAGAAGAGGTTCGAAGAACACGTTTAAAGATTTTTAATGAAACGAGCGGAGCCAGACGGAACATTTTCAGAAGATTCACGAACCATAAAAAGAAATCAAAGAACTAAACTGCCTATAATGACAAATCAGTCCCATGCGGAAAAAGTAGGAATTGAGAAAATAGCAGCCGAAGTAACGACGTGCAATTTCCATGTAAATATTTAAAAACTAATACTAAATGTATTGTTATTTTTTTCAAGTTGAAATCAGTTACAATGCAGCTTGCATGGTTTGTTATCTCAGCGAAAAATATGGCAATTCAAAAAGCAGAACTATATTTCTGGACGATTGAAATTCACGCTGGGACTGATATGCGATTACTTTGCTTGATGGGACAAACTTACTTGATGTTGTTTTTACATTTTTCATTATGAATGTCCGTAGTTTTATCACATAATATGAAAGTAGATGCCAATTCATAGTGGATATCCTTGTTATCTCAAAATTAAGGAAAACTCATATGGGACTGATATGTGATATTAGGCATTAAGCATAAATTATGAAGAGATTCGAGGACTAGCCTGGACTCTCTCTCTAGGATTTAAACTCGACGACGGATTAGTACTGTAACTATCGGAACTTCTTTGAAGGTCTCTGGCCTTCTGTGAAATTCCTTAATCTTTTCTGTGGTTTTCTTAAATTATTTTGAGTTCTTCAGGACTTATCTAAGACCAATTTTCCTGAAATTCCTAATCCAAATAATTTAAGTGGTTCCAAGATTGTAACGGAAATTCTAGAAACCGTATTGATTTTTTTAAACAAATTCTTTAAGATCTTTAAACTAGCTTGAAAGTAGAGACTGTCCAAAAAAAATCGGAGATTCCCTAGAGTTATTGTAACTATCCTAAAGATCTTGACTTTCCTCTGTTCTTTCTTCAAAATCTCTAAACTTCTCTGAAATTCTCTGGACTTTGCTGAAGTTTTTAGAACATGCCGAATGCTCCGGCAATCATCCTGGAGTTTATAAAACTTTCCTAAAGATCGTGTAATTTTCCAGTTTTCGGAACATCTCTGAAATTATCGAGATTTTCCATAGTTCCTCGGAACTTCTTGTAAAATCCTGCAACTTCTTGCAAGTAATGTACCTGGTTAAGAGCTATCTGATCTTCCCGCAAAGTACTATAAACATCTCTAATGTTAATAAAATTGCCCTTACTTCTTCGTAACTTCTGAGGAGTTGTCCCTGAAGGTCTCGCAACATCTTAAAAGTTTTTGCAGTTGTCTGAAACTAATGGAACTGCCTTGAAGTTCTCTGATCTTTGCTGAAGACTTGCATTTTTCTAAAGTTTTCGAAATTGCTCGGAAGTTTACGGAAGTTTTCTTAAACTGTTCCCGCATCCTTTTGATGTTCCGCTAATTTCCAGATGCACTCGGAACTTTGCTGAAGTTTTCGAAAATTTGTTTAGGTTATGCATGATCCAAATATACACTATAATCCGGACTAGCGTTTTACGCATAAATGACCTACGTTTCTTGCGATTCCCTCAATAGATCCTAGAAGTTCTTTATCCTTCCTCTAAACTTCTCCGCTGCTCAAACTTTACCTTAGTCCCCAAATTATTTGAAAAAGATATTCGAACATCCGTGGCACATATCTCGCGCAAAAACTTGAGTTTATACTCCGCTGCAAACTTACCGATGGGTGGCAATCTGATAGGCCATTTTCAACCCAACGGTTGGTAGAATCTGCATCTCCTTGATGCTGCCACGGTTGACGAGATCCAGTACTGCTTTACCATGCTTGGAGGCTGTCATCTTGGGTTCCTTTTTACCCCTGCCCGGTGTCTGGTGGAAGTACCCAGCAATCACCTTATTGCTGATCGTGAGGGGATTGGCCCTCCTCTTGATTGTCACGTTCGCTTGCTCCAAATTCTCCTTCTCGTCCTCAATCAACGGCTCGAAGCGTTGTTTCTTTTTTTTCGCCGATTGACAGCATCCTTTCCTGTGCTGATGGACCGTAGTCTTTCGCAACGAAATCCGCGTACTACGGCGACGGACCTGTCCATTTTCCACCTCCCAGAGATAGCTGTCTTCGCTTCGCATTTGTACGGTCTTTGTGGTACCAAGTGAAACCTGCTGGTAGCTTACGTTTGCATCGATCACTCCGAATGCCTTACGCTGACCGGAAAGTCTGTTGGACAGTCTACGTCGAACAACCACACCATCTTCGTCAGCATTACCCCCTTCTTCCTCGTCGCTATCGACGTTAATGACTTCGAAGCGACGGGGAGTTTTCGTATTTACCACAACCGTGCTGTTCAGTCCAACTTCCCCGGTTGAATCATCCGCCGCCGTTGCCATCTTGGCCTGATCTCGTAAACGTTGCAAAGCAGGATTAAGCCGCTGCTTAACGCTCATTGAAGCAGTACGTGGCTCAGTTTGCACCTGACAGGGAGTGCTCTCGAATTTCGGAAGATGGGTGGACTCGTTGATGGTACTCATCTCGGAACGAATTGCTTCCTGAATCTCCCGGCGGATCAGGTCCCAAGGAATGGCACTAGCAGCTGGAGCCGGTGTTGCGTTGCTGTTGATATCCGATTGCTGCGAGCTGCAATCGATCACTATCGGTGGATTAGACGAGGGGGTAGAAGGAACTGCTATCGCTGGAGATGGCGCAACCGGTGGCAATGCCGCTGCCGGTTGGATGTGTTGAATTTTCTCGAACATTTTCGCGAGTTTCTGCTCGATTGTGGCCTCGAATGTCTCCATGCACTTTTTCACGAGTGGGCTGTAGCTGGAACTGTAAAAAATGGGTTTTGAGTTTTATTATTGTTTTAGTTTTATGAACAATGCTTACTTTGTACTCTGGCTAACCGCACTGGAGGAACAAATCGGATGGTCCACGGAGGTCGAGCTGGACAAATTCAAGCTGAAAATTGATGATCTTGAGTCGGGAAGAATGGCATCAAAGTCCTTTTCCAGCATGTCGCTGAACCGAGGAACGGCCGGCAACGGTGGTGGCATCATGGCTTGCACCTTCTGTAATGCAGCCTTCGTCGGTGGAGCTACTATTATCGGAGCAACCGGTGGTGGCGGGACAGGTTTGCCAAAGGCACCCGGTGCAATGGTTGAATTAAGTTTGCCATAGTCAAGCTTGCGGATTTTGCTCGGTGTGCAGAAAGTGTTGCTGTGGACTTTCTTGGCCGATGATCCTCCGGGCACGTGGGGACGCTTGGCTGCCGACTTGGGTGTCTTGGGGTTCCTGACTTTGAGTGCACTGGAACCGGGAACGTAGTTCTTGGCTGGGGTACGAGTGCGCTCTTTTGCCTGGTCGGAAGAAGGAAGCAGAGAAACGGGAATTAAAGTCACGTGCTATATGAATTATCGTAACCGCAAAGCGGTTGAAGTGACACCTCGCAATCTAAGCATATGGATAGGTACTGATCAATTGAAATACGACTCTATTTTTCAAGGACAACCAGGCTGAGCTGCGGAAACCGGGTGCAGTTGATTGGAATGGAGGATGGAATCAAAATGTCACCAGCTGCTGCTCCAGCAGTAGGCATGTACCGTAGGTTTCGATTATTTCCCACCAACCAACGAGCGCACAAGTTCAAGTTCTCTCTGCGTCGCTCATATGCAAATTCTAAAAATAGGAGTAGTTGTACGAGCAATAAAGTGATTTATTAGGCTATAGGTTATAGAACCACACAGAAGCACGCTATCAGATCAATTTAGAAATTAAGCTCATCACTCTATGGTGGTGGTGTTAGATGATGACGTAAGGCGATTGTGAATGGTCGGAATATTTGGCAGATGGAATTTTTGTTTGCGGAATGCGATTGTTTGTGTGCGACGGGATCATAGATCAGGCTTCGGATGATTGGACTCGTTTTGCAGAGGCAACTTTAGAAATTAACATCATTCAAGCTTGATTTGTATATGCGGCTGAATGGACTGCTATCCGGTCCAAAGGTGATTTTTTATGAGTTAAATGTCATTGAAGAGATGTTGTTTTTTTAATAAAGGCAGTATTACATTCAAACTGCACATTGTATTCGAACCGGTAATTACAGCGTAGACGGTTAGCATACCGGAAGACTCACGACGGTTATCTGAAATTGCAAGCAATCACGACGGTTATCTTAAATATACATTTGAACTTTATGTAACCATAGTATGTACACTCTGAAAAATCTTCACGTCCGATTTACGTGAAAACATAGATGGTTTTCGTCCACCCTATTTTTCACGTAACTTTTACCGGAATTGCACGCAAAATTCACCTTCAATTATCTACGTGATTAGTCAGGTATATGAGACCTGATTTTCACGTACTGCTTAAGTGAAATTAGGATGAAAAAATGCTTTGAAATGTTTAAAATGCTTTTTACATAATGAATTTTGAATGAGAATATGGGACATATTATAGAGGTAGGCAATATTATAAAATTTTATCGGGCAGATATAAATTTCACGTGTTTAAATTGATACTTATATCTGCTCATCAAATAGCAAATTATTGACTGCTTGATTATTATGAGGTAGAAATGTTTATGAGTCTTTCATAGCTTGAGCTTGAGCTTGAGCTTGATTGACCGCCCACGGTTGCTACTCTGTTACTGCCAGATCAGTTATAATTACACAGAGAACCAATAGACGATGCTTGGGACTAGCAATCATCCTCAAAGTGTAAAAACTGGTGATCTTAAATTAGGCAATACCAGCGCCGGCCGCGCCCGAACACAGGTCAAGAAAGGAATGGGAAGGATTGTGTTGACATGACACTCGCTTTGATGGAAGCCGAGAACACCTCTGCACTTCCACGAGGAATCACTGGGATGTTGGATAAGAGGGTTGGGTTTGCAGCAGGGTTCGTTTTGGTAAACGATAAGCTGAATTGATGTCCTAACGATCATATAACGCGAACGAGCTTGGGACTAAACCCACGGTCTTCTGCTCAGTAAGCAAAAACGTTTGCCACTAGGCAGACGAGCACCTTTTTAATCACCGAGTTGCTGTTATTACCATGTAGTCATATTAACAAATAAAACGATTGACGAATCTTGAATGTGGATGGGCCTGAGATTAGACTCATGATGTTCTGCTCAGTAAGCAAAAACGGTTGCTCTAAGGCCACCGAGCCCCTCATATCACATAATACCGTTGCTCAAATTTGTGTATCCATTCAAACCCGGAATCAACGACAACAACGAGTTTCGCAAAATACACGATACACAAGCGATTTTACCATAAATCTCTTTGATATGTAAGGACCTGGGACCGCGTTTTTCTGCTCAGTAAGCAGGCCACTGTAACCGACGATCTTTCAAATCCGAAAACTAAAAACTACGAAAAAGTACTTAGGCCTTCATTAAGTTCCACTTTCACGCGACGTTCAATGACAGGGTCCTATCCAGGATTACATCTGAAAAATCCAAATCTGGCCAACGCCCACTCTAAACTTAAACCTGTTCTAATCCACCTGAAATGACTAACGAATGGAAGACTTTGACTACCCAGCCATGCAATAGTCTCATTCCGTGCCTTATGGCAACTTGATGATTCTATTGCGCTCATCTTTTGGCACCACCCAGGGGAGACTTGGTCCTGTACCCAATGCTTAACTTATCTCCATTCTACTCAGCTACTCGCAATTTCTTGTGATATAGTGGGCGGAATATTTTTATATGAGACAATTCAATGCAGACGTCTTTCCAAATTTGGCAGATCGACAGGTAATCGGTGAGTTACCACGATAGTTGCTATTCAACAACTCGACAACGTCCCATCGTCAACGCCTGCTATGAGAATTTCCCATTGCAGACGCCAACGAAATGACGTCATCGAGCTATCGATCAACTACCCTGGTTATCGCCTGGTACCTTATAGCACGATGCTAGGAGGCGAACCGGAAGAATCGATGAGCTACCTCTCCCCCTGAAATGTTTATGAGTCTTTCATACCTGACAAAGTATTAACTATTGTTAGCAGACCCAAAATGCCGATGCCACATTTTAAATCTTCGAAGAGTTCTTCCGCTACGCTCGATGAGCCTTTTTTTGCATATCTGAAAATCACGTAAATCTCGTTTCGCGGAAATATCGAAGTCCTAAACACACTAACACAAATACGCTAAATCTGTTTACGTGATTATACGGTCGATTTAGTCAATATTTTTAATGAACATGACGTGTAATGAAGCACAAAGTTACTAACGTCACATAACATTTGAAGATTTCTTAATACAGATCAGTTACGTGATATTTCACGTAAATCGGACGTGAAGATTTTTTAGAGTGTACTCTTAAAAGCCTGCTCGATCTACACACTCTAAAAATTATCACGTTGATGCTACGTGAAAAATCCGTCTTCGATCATTTCCACGTGCCTCACGTAAATGCCAAATGAATATTTAATAAAATTTGAGTGATTTTCACGTTTGTTAATGCTACAGGAAGTTCACGTCAGTGGCACGCGATGAGCATGTATAAAAAAATCAATGCTTTTCAAAATGGCGGTAATACACTTTTGCTGAAGGAAGTGTTACTGTTACCTAAAGCTACAACAAATTTAAACAGCACTTCTAAAAACAGCAAATGCTAAATATGACCTGCAAATTTTCTACCTTTTTCTACTCTTATTCCTCTTCGATTCTTGTTTGGATTCTACTCGAGGTAATTCTGCTTGGGCATCGATTTGGAAAATTCCTCTTCGATTCTACGGATTCTTAAAGTACTCTGCTTGGAAGTCGATTTGGAAAAACATTGTTCTACCGCCATGGCGCCTAAACGCAGAAGAAAGGGGCAATCTCTTGATCCCCCTTCAGATGAAATTAATTTGAGCAATCAATTTGATTTGCTCACGGGTGATGAGAATGATCCATCATCCAGGCAAAATTCCATTAAACATTTCCGGCTTAATGCCAAGAAGAAAAAGGCTCCCCGTATTGCGATAACCACTTCCGATTTCCATGCTCTTCGCACGGAACTTTTGAGGTTCGTTAAATTCACGTTTTCACTTCAAATTGACCGTCGCGCAGTGGGACGAATTCAAAACTAGTGGGACATGGCTATTTGCGACGAAACTATTGAGTGAAGCATTTTGATGTATTTTAGAATGTTTTTATTTTTTAAGTACTTTAATTGGGAAGAGAACATTATGATTAAAGGGGGTAAACACTAAGATAAAAAAATAACTTTTTTTATGTCTTGTTGAAATTGATGAACATCTATGGAAATATTTTAGATGAAGTAATTTTACGAAACTTTGTCGAATTTCTATCTCTCAAGTGGACGAAGTTATAGGGTGAAAATAGAATACTAACGCGGGGGTACTAGCGTAAAACCTTTTTTTACCATAACTTTTAAGTTTGAATTTTTCGATTTTTTCAATGTTCTACAAAGTTGTAGATGCTCTTAAAATGCACATTTTTGCTCAATGAAGCAAATCGAAAAATGGTCACGAAAACAGCAAAACGTAACAAAACGTTAACGTACTTTTAAGAAAATTCATTATGCATCCCCTAGGATCCCCCTATGAATTGTATATGTAACAGTAGACTAGAAGATGCTGAACAAAATAACGTTGAGATTAGCTGTTAATACCTGCTAACCTGCACGATACACCCCCTTACGGGGTACTACCGTTTGAGAGGTACTACCGTCCACTTGAGAGATAGAAAATTGACGTCTTCGACAAAGTTTCGTAAAATGACTTCATCTACAATGTTTTTATAGATGATCATCAATTTCAACAAGACATTAAAAAGTTATTTTTTATCTTAGTGTTAAGGGGGTTAAGCAAAAATATGCACCACTGCAATAAAGTATTTAAAAAGTTGAGGAAACATTCTAGAATACATCAAAATGCTACACTAAATAGTTTCGTCGCAAATGGCCATGTCCCTCTTTTTTTGATTTTGTCCCACTGTGCGTCGGGGCAAATGTATTAGCTGAAACCTTGGACGGATTCAAATGTCTTCTCAAGAGAAACAAAACATTTTTTTACTCATACGAAACCAAACTGAACTCTGTCCAAATTGTCTTGAAAGGTCTGCCCAGTGATCAGATCAAAGATGAATTGACAAAATTACTTGAAGTTGAGCCAATCCAAGTAGTCAAAATGAAATCTCGTTCTGGTGATTCGTGCAACGGGATTTCTAATTATATTTATTTAGTTCACTTCAAGCCTAGTGAACTAAACATTCTTAAAGCCTAAGGAAAAGCTAGCATTATGGGAACACTTGTGGAAGGCAGAAGGAAATTTCCAAAACCTCACCCAGTACCGTCAGTGCCCGGGATGGGGTCACAAAACAGACAAAAATG